AAGAGCTTGCAAGAAAGGACAATAAAATCATTACCATAAATAAAATATTATTACAAGTGTCACACAAGTGTGAAGAAATTTAAAATATCAGGTTTGCAGATACAGGTGATAAAATGTTTTCCTAAAATATTTCCTTTCTTTGCTCACTTCTATCAAGATTAAAAAAAAAAAACCCCAACAAAAACAAAACAAACAAAAAAAAACAAACAAAAAAACCCAAACAAACAAACAAAAAAAAAACGGACCCCAAAAAAACCCAAAATTTAAACCCCAATAACAATTTTTTCTATTTGCCATCAGCAAAACACTTGAGTTGGACTTTGTCCTTACCAAATAGAGAGATTATTACCATTTCCCCGAGGACATCCACCTATGCATTTTCCCAGGGCTTTTTGCTGGGGCTGGCTTCAGCCGCAGAGCAAACAGAACCATCCCGGTGGCCACAAGCTGCTTCCTGCTGGCCCCGGGTGGCTCCTGGTGTCATCAGGGCCCCTGCTTAACCACGTGTATGGCCGGGAGGGCATGTTTGTGTTTCATTTGTACAGACACGATTAGCTACTTCTCAGGGCTTGTCTGCTGTAAAACTGGAAATGTGTCATGCGCTATTAGCCAAGCAAATGTAATGCCCCCAGAATAAATATGCCCCGCGAGCTCGCAGGCTGTAATTGATGGAAAAACAGGTGTTCCCCCTTATCCTCCGTGATTGCCTGCACATATGGCCTCTTTTATGCCGTCCTGCAACTGCTTTGTAATGCTGGCTCCTGCAGAAAAAGAAATAGTGTTGCTGTAAAAGAGTGGGTTTCAAGAGTATTCTTCGGTCCACGGCCAAATTGAATAAAAGCAGCACAGCCCTTTTTAGTATTTAACTAATTAAGCTGCAGCAGCCACCACAAGCACTTCAGGCATCAAACTGCATTTCTAGCTACTCTTGTTTTAAAATGTGGTGCTCTGACTTTGCAAATTAAAGCTACATATAACACAAATTCCCATTTGAGTGGTGTTAACATCCTCAAATTGGACCCTCCAAATAGAAACAGTGAGATTGTATCAACTCCTGGTTGGTTTTATACTTTACAGCCTGAAGTTTTGTGTTGAAAAAAACCATTTAGTTCCCAACAGCTGTGTAAGACCTACTGGCCTTGCAGTGTTAAAACCAGGAAGATTTCAGAATGAGGTACAGGCAGAAATGTCAATGGTCCCTTTACATAACACGTTTTCAATAAGATTTTGTTCTCCTGGGTGAATGCACTTGCAGAAGAAATAAAAGAAGAAAGGTGGCTGAACAGCTGGAGGGCCACCCTTAAGAGGTGAAGGCTGGTGATACCCAGCAGCCAAAATACTTATTCTAGGACTGGGCTGAATGTTGATCCCTGTGCTTTGATCTGTTCCCTTCAGCATGTGTCTCTGTCTCTGCATCACTCTTCCTGTCTTGCAGTGGACAGGAGAAGTCTCTGCTTTGGTTGTCTGCGGTGGTAGAAGATTCCCAGAGTCAAGACCTGGTCTGATCTCTCTCTGTCAACCCAGCAGTGTGTCCAGGGACTCAGTAACATGTTTGGGATATGCTCCTCCTGCTCCCCAAGCGCACCTCTTTTGGTTTCTCACGGAGAGGGTTTATTGTTTACCCATCAAGAACTACCAGTATTTTAACCCAAATTCAGCTTACATGCTGAAAGCAAGCTCTGTGGGTAGAAAAAATATCCTTGGCTTGATCTTACAAAATCAAATGGGCTTATCAAGATATGACATCAGAGATGAATCTCCTGTCTGGCTTTTACACTGTCACTGATCTAAAAGAAAATGTCATTACATAATACCTTTCTTCATCCAAAACATACTTGCAACAAAAACAAGATGATAAAACAGTGGCATCCTCCTGAACCCTTTTGAATTTTCTGCAGATACACACAGTGTTTTTGCCTGACTTTGGTTATCCTTGTGTCTTGCTCCTGTTTATCTCTGCTCTTTCCTTGATTGCCTCAGCAAGAAGTTCCTCTTCTTCTACAAGATGCACAAAAAAGAAGAAGAAGAAAAGCATCTTTCTCACTTTATCCCTTCCCAGGGTACTTCCATTTCTGTGACGGCTTTCTCAGTCCACAGCTTGGCGGAGTTTCATGCCTGTGCTTCCCACCCTGTAACAGATAAATTTCACAGAGTTCTGGCCACTACTCAGGGGTGCTGAAGCTCCTGAACTCCTCCAGCTTTCCCCACTGCACACTTCTGGCTGAAGGGATGGGTCTGTTGGACATCAGTGTGGACGTGATGAAGCCACAGGGTACCAGCTGCAGAGAGTGATGCCCACACCAGGAACAGATGTCTGGAGAGATGCCATGGCAGCCAGCAGAGAGCTGGGCTCGAGACTATGGACTTGAACTTTGAATAAGGATTACTAGGTTTAAATAAGTTATGTCTTCTATCAAGCAAGGAAATAGGGTGTTGTGTGTAAGTGCCTGGCTTTTGAAAGCCAGCCTGTCTCCCTTTTTCATGGACAAGTCTTTGAAGGATCAGAAATGTGGGTACAAAAACACAGCTACAGCCTCAAATACTTGCATGCCTTTTGACAATAAGGGAGAAAAGCATACTCAGGTAAATTCCTGGCCCTTGTGACATAGGATTTCCTCCTCAGTGTTACATGCTGTATTGGTAAGTGTCTTACCTATGTGCAAGGAATATTTTGCACTAGGTCTGCAAGGGTATATTTCTGCTTGGGGAATGTAAAGATTCCCACTGGAAAAAACCTCTGCACCAGGTCCTTTTTGGGATGTGGATCCCTTGGAAACTGATCTACCTTGAATTTCACGTTAAACTGAAGTTACAAAGAAATAATATTTTAATAACCAGCCTTGTTTCAGATCTTACACACGGGTAGAATACCACTGGGTGCAGTAGGGACTAAATAAATATTTCACTGATAAACAACAAGCCTAAATTGTTTATGAAGCATAAAACAATTATCTTTGACTCCACCTGATGCTGCTGAGCAAGCTGTTCCTATTTATTGTGCTATTATTAGATGGGAATTTAGTACATTGGACAGCATCTTTCCTGAATGGATGACACAACCAAGTCCATGTAGCACAGACTCATTCTCCAGCGCAGTTCAGAACTCTGTACACAGCCCATCATCCTGCATGGAAGGATTTCTTAGAAACCAAAAACAACTGAATGAATTAATCATTTAGACAAGAGTGCCTAGACACTCCTATGGATGTAGATGTTCTGACTACTACTTAAAGACTTGAGGATATAAATTGTCATTATATGTACATACAACTCTGATTTCATTTCTGTATGGAGACAATATTTCTGCAGAGTTCCTTAACATAAAATGCAATCAAAATGCCATGCCAGCTTGCAGTGTCAGTGATGAGAAATGAGAAAAAAAGCAGTAATGAGGTAAAAAATGAGGTGAAAAAGCAGTTTGTGTTTTGAGTAGAACACTGGTGGTGACACTCATACAGGAAAAACCCACATGGAATCAGAAATTGCTTGGTGAGGTGGCCACATTTAAATAGAGCCTCAGAAACAATTCTAAAAATGGAACAGAGGGATCTTTAAGGCATCTGTCCAGGAAAGTGAAGAAAATATATTTTTGGCAGTGAACACTGAGAAAATCATGCAGAGAATAAAATGAATTAAAATGAACAGGAACCACGTGCCCTGGTTGCTGCCTTGGCTTTGGTGAACCTTGACCTGTTGTTACACCATATTGCAGAAAACAAACGTGGGTGAAAAACAGGATGGTGTTCCAGGGCCTTTTTATCAGTGTTCTATTCTATATCAATATTTATTGATATTCTCTTTGATATTCTCTTGGCATTTCTAGTATACTTACTACGCACTCACCCTTTCCCCCTCTTGTGGATCCATTCATATTCCTGTTATTTGAGGCTCCTGCTCTTACAGCTGGCAGAGCCATGGCAGTGATTACAGTCCCCTGATCCCTGTGGGTCCATGGAGATGCCCAGAACCATATCCACTCTCGTGGTGATGTTTGGGAATGAGATGTCAGACATTGAAGCAATGATCTTTTAAAATATTTTCCTCCCCTCATTGATTCATATTTATGTTTTGGTTATTTTCCCATTTTAGAAGCCAGTGAAGAGCAAGGCAGGCATATCTGTCACTCCATAATAAATGGAAGGAAGCACAGTGTTGAAGCACAGATCTAAATTACAGTCAAAAAGTTGGAAGAATCAAGAAATGGAATACAGTGCACCATAAAGTGAAGATGCTAAAAGATTCAGTTTCTGAGGCAAAGGGCATTTAGAGAACATCAGGAAAGTTTTAGAAGCATTTTCTAGCACGTGGAAAGACAATGAAAAGGTAGAGGGAATGTTAAATAAAACTGAAGGGGCTGGGGAAATTCAGATGCAAAATGAAAATGTGCAAATAAGTGTTTAACAAATTGAAATAACTGCTCAAAAAGTACAACGTGCAGACCACTGGATGCGATTAATAGAACAAAAGTTGAAATTATTTTTAAACGAGAAATTGTACGAAATTAATAACTGTATTTGAGGATAAACATATTTGCCCACCATCGCCAGGGTGGGCAGGGTGCCCATTAATGCAGCACGTCTGTGGCGTGTCACAGGTGTCGGGGGACAATGCGCCGTAATCGTGCTGTGCCGCCCGCTGGGTCCCACTGGGTTAGAAGCCCAGATGAACAAAAAAAGCTAAATTCACCTCACACCGAGGAGAGAGGGGACGCGGGCTGGGGGCAGAAAACCCACCCGCGACGGGCTGGGTGCGGGGGGCGGGCGGGGTCCTCGGCTCGGGCTCGCCCTTACCGCTCACCCGCAATGATGGAAACCATCGCTCACCGGCACCCACCCGGCCCCCCGACCCTCGGGGACCCGACCCCGCATCCCCCGTCCAGCCGAGCCGCTGCCACCCCCGCNNCCTCCCCCCGGCTCGGGGGCCAGGTACACTTGACGTCAGGATGGCTGTCGTCGTTTTGACGTGTAAACACTCATTTCCATTCCGGCTCCGGAGGGTCTGTGAGCCTCGGGCAGCGGCGCCGGCAGGCAGGCAGGCAGGGCTCCCGCTCCGCGCTATCGCGCAGCAACGCGGCGCCGCATCCCGCCCGCATCCCGCCCGCATCCCGCCCGCCTCCCTCCCGCGTCCCGCTGCCATGGCCGGGCGGCGCTGGGCCGGCCGGTGCGCGGCCCTGGCCGTGCTCCTGGCAGCCTGGTCCCTGCCCCGAGGAGGCAGCGCCGGGCGGCTCTTCCTCAACGAGTGGGCAGCGGAGATCCCGGCCGGCCCCGACGCTGCCAGAGCCATCGCGGACGAGCTGGACTACGACCTGGTGGGACAGGTACGGCCGGGCGGGGGAGCGCAGCGCATCCCGCAGGAGGCTCCGCGGCGGGGCTCCTTTCCCATCCCGCGAGGCTCCTTCCCTCCCCTCTCCCTCAAACTTGTGTCCGGCAGCCGCCCTCGGGGCTCCGGGCAGTTTAAAGCTCCCGGTCGCCCACCGCAGCCTCCCAGGGTCCGGGTCCGCCCCTGGCGCCCGGCCAGGGATGTCTCTCTCGGAGGGGACGGGGCAGGGAGACTCTGCTCTTCCTCCGGGGAGCGGGCGGGGACCTCCGGCTCTCCTTGACGGGAGCGGGCAGGGCGCTCCCGTTCTCCTTGGCGGGACTGGGCAGGGTCGGGCGGGAGGTCCGGCTCTCCCTGGAGGGGTCCAGGCAGGACAGCTGGCTCTTCCTCAGGAGACCGGCCGTGCGCCCGCCGTGCCTCAGGGGACCGGGCAGACCGACCCCGCCGTTCCACAGGGGACCGGGCAGGGTGCCGAGCTCTCCCCCGGCAGTTCGGACAGGAGGACGAGAGCACGGGCGGTGTCGGCTGCGACCCCGCGCCGCCTCCGCCCCGCCGGCTCCATCGCCATCGCGGGGCTTCTCTCCAGCCATCCCTCGGGCGCTTTTTTTGGGATGCCGTGACGTCAGCGTTGTCAGGGATGAGTAACCGCCGTGAGGGAGCAGCTTCGTCTCATCTCCCGGCGAGGGTCCTGCGCCGGGCACGGCGTCCCCGAGCGCTGGGACCCTGCTGCCCCCGGCCCGGCCCCGTGGTCGGGGTCGCGATCAGCCCCGCTCCGTGCTAGCGGTGCTGTCCGCCGGCAGCCCCCTCTGGCCGAGCCCCGCGTTAGGGCACGGCGGTGTTCAACGCGCTCCCAAATCCGTAGGTGTGAGCCCACCTGTGTGGGTTTGGTCCTTCTGCCTTTGTAGCCGGTACATTTGTCCCCACAGCTATCAAAGAGCCCGTCCTTAGGAGAGTGGGGTATTCAAAGTCAGCGGGGTGCTCCTGGCTTGCCCGGTGGCTGACTGGATACCGAGCAAGTGAAAATGCTGCTGCGGTGGGTGCCTCTACAACCCAGCCCCGCAGTGAGGTGTCCGAAGCCAAGCAAAGCTTTTCACACCTGTCCAGGTGAAACGCAGGAAAAGCAGATAAAACCGCTGAGCCACCTGCCCACCGAAATGCGGCCTTGCCAAGGTGTGTCCATGAGTGTAGTGGTCATTAGTGCCGGTGCTGTGTAACCTGAGTCCTGTAGTAGTAATGACTGCGCTTGAATAGCCCAAATGAAATTACTCCCCCAGCTTCCTCTAGCAGCACACAAGCTGAGAGAAGCACTTGTTACTGGAAGAGTGCTTCCTTGTTTGGATTAAAATATCTACAGGCTAGTTTCTTGCTCTTTTGTCTTTAAGGCAACTTGAATTCTTTCAGGTTTTGATTATTGGTACTTGCTCACAGTGGGGAAATACTTCCTGATAATTAAAGTGTGCCTGTGTCTTACAGATTGGATCACTGAAAAACCACTACTTATTCAGACATAAGAGTCACCCAAGACGGTCCCGAAGAAGTGCTATTCATATCACTAAGAGACTTTCTGATGATGAGCGGGTAAGTGTTAAACTCATTCTTTTTTAAAATTTTTTTATTCTGTCTCCTTACCGCTAGCTTCGTAAAGAGGTCACAGGCAAGCCTTCCTCATTTTGAAAGTCTAATATATTCAGCCATCCATACTCGTGCTGAATAATACTTAACTATTCTGTCATTCACAGGCAGAGTCTGACCCTCCCTTACCACATATTTTACAAGAGCTTTCCAAATTAAGATTTAAGTTGTGCAGCGCCGGAATTTCAGATGTTGATATGCCACTGAAGAAAATGTGAACAGGGAACCAAGGGGCTGGATTCAAAGTAAAAAATCCATAGATGCACTAAGTTTAATTAGGCCACGACTGTGCAATTACCATGTGAATTAGGTTTGATTTAAAGTGACTGAATATTAACTAAAAAAAAAAAAAAAAGAAGCAGGGATAAAGGGCTGATGTTCTGCTGGATTGGCTTCTGCAACAAGCTAAAATCCCTTCTCAAAGGATCCATCACACATTCCAGACTTGCAGTCTTTTTTTACAATGATCTGCCACTGCAAACAGAGAGCAGGCAAACTGGAGAGAGGTCTAAGGTACCTCTGGTGAAGCAGACCCCTCGTTTGTCCGGCTTTATTTCAGAGAGAAGCATTTCTGTTTGCAACCATAATGAAAAACTGAGGTGCATGACAAATTTAAAGAGCAGACCAGAAAGCTGTCAGCCTCTCTTACAAACTATTTTCTGGGAAATGTCACAACAACAACACTTGATTTTAAGATTGGCATTGTTGCAACAATCATTGTGACAATATGAGCTGTCCAAACCAAGAAGTAACCTAGTTGTCAAAACCAGCAAATTATCATATAAGGACAAATCACTTCAGAATGAGTAATCTTCTATCTGGAGGTTTTAGATGCAAATGTCAGCTAGGAGGAAATATTCTGTGTGGCAAGACAGGGTGTTTGTTTTGCCTGTTTTGTTTCAAAAGTGTACAATCTCATCTATTTCCTTGCAAACAGGAACTGGTCTACCAGTTAAAGTAATAATCCTAACTTGGGGATGTTCAAACGTGCAGATTCAGTCTAAACTAGTTCCAATTTATGCCTAGGTATATGACCACATGTCCTAGATCATCGTAGCACTATGCTCAGGATCAGAGTTTTGGGTGCAGTTTCTCTCATTTTTGGGCTTACTGCACGAAATGAATCTGTTACACGGGGAAGAATGAGAGTGTTCAATGCATCACATTCTAAAATTGCAGCAGAATGGAAGTGATTGTGTTATATTGCTACCAGACATTACTGCATCCTTACATTCTTAGATTCAAAGTGCTGCAGGTGATTTGCTAAATTTACTCCAATTTCCATTTTATTTACCATCCAGTATGCAAATTAATTCCATGAATAAATGAGATGTAATTATGCATTATGTAAGTGTATAAACACAAAGCAATCATGTACCGCTGTGTAGTTACACAGGGACCTTTGCTCTGAAGAGCTGCTCTTGTTCAGCAGCAGCCTACTTAAAAAGATTTGGATTCAACCTTTAAAAAGAGAGAGAAAAGGGAATCCTGTTTTTGTTCGTATAACGCCTTCATGAATTTTACGGTATGTTAAGTGTGAAAGTTGTGGTAAAACTTGGCTCTAATCTGAATATTTATCTGCTTCCTATAGTGTTTGTTGTAAAACAGATAAAGGCTGTGAGTACATTGAAAGGATATAATTATCTGGTTACTTAACTTCTTCTAGTATTTGCACTGGTTTCCAAATCTACTTTCTTGTGAGTAGATTTGAATTGAGAATTTTTTTACTGCTTTATGTGTCAGTGATTGGAGATTTGGCATGGGGCCTTCAGTTTTTGCTGGAGATGGATGGTTGGAACCTCACCCAGCTGAAGAGTGACAAACACTTTGCTTGTTTGCCTGACATATGTGCTTGGGAGTTTCAGCTCCTTTCCCTTCAGTGCACTTGCTCACCATGAAAAGAAATAACAAGCATGGAAGTTGTCAACTGCTAATTACTGTTGGGTGGTGAAGAGGTCAAGCTTTGCTGTGGGCAGGGAAGAGAGATAGAGGTAATTGCTCCAACGTGTGCACAAGTATGTATGGCTTGAGATATCAATAGAGCAGTTTAAAATACCTAAGCTTGCATGGGTATATTCATCTTCTATGACCAAGGTTTGTAGGGGGTTTAGGACTAAATATATAGCAAAGAGAATAGTAAACATGCCTAATGCAGATGCCATTTTAAGGGATTTATATTCTTGTAGTGAATTTTCATTAGGCTTTCATTAGAAAATTGCATTTTAATAAAATCATACTTTTAAATCATAACTTCTGAGTCATTATTATCTCATGTATGGTGATAGATGTCAGGATCATAAAGCTGCTCAATCACAGTAGATAAAAGGAACAGAATCTATTCAGAGCTTGAAAGTAAAAGATTAGATCCAAGGCACCCTCCACATGAGGCTTGTCACAGGATCTTGGCAATCTTGCTGAACCCGAGTTTGCTTTGCCTGCTTGGAATTTGGGATGAAAAGGACCAACCATGTCTGCATCAGAGTGACCATAAAAGGACCAACTAATAATGTTTTATTCCCTTTCCAAAAAGAGCACACAGCACAGAGGGAGGCATCATCATCAGGATTTCATCTGAACTGGGTTCACTAATGCATTCAAGGGCGATACACATTTAAAATACAACCTAGTGCCTTAGAGACTGCTGTGTCTGTGCACAGGGGCTGTCCAACTCATGTGATGCTTTATCAAAGCATGCTGAAACATTTTGGCTTTCGGTTGCCTTAAGTGGAATTATGCCAGTGATGAAGTTAGTCCAACATTCGTAGCTTGCTAATTGACCACTCTTCAAAACACCACTAGGAAGGAGACTTGGAGGTCCAGCTGGTCTGTGAGTAACAGCATAATTATGATTGCTAGACTAAAGCCAGAGATAATCTTTCTTCTTTCGTTCTCACTCCCAATAGAGAATGAATAAAAGATAAGTAGGAGAAAGAAGCAGGCTGTGGTTTTCCTTGTTTCAGTAAGCACCATTGCTTAGATGACCTTCTGGCCATACTACATGGTTTTATTTGCTGTAAAAACCTTCCTTGTGTCATTCACAGGAGTTCCTTGTTAACTTGTACTTAATAACTTTCTGTGAATTGATTCTACAGTATTGTGATTTCTCAAAGTTCTCTTCCCTAAATCTCACTGGACTACAGTTTAAATAATCCTCTTCTCTGTACTGAATGTTGCTCATTTTGCTTTAGGCATCAAAATCTCTCTGTGTGATGAAAGCCCTTATACTCCAGGTTAAGAGAGTCCCAAATTGAAGAGGTTCATTTGTGATATTTTTACAAATAATCGCAGGTGTCATGGGCAGAGCAGCAGTATGAAAAAAAGCGAACTAAGCGTGCCGCCGTGAGAGACTCAGCAGAAAGCCTTTTCAATGACCCTATGTGGAATCAGCAGTGGTATCTGGTAAGAATTTGTTGCCCTGTGGAACGAGGGAAGGTGGTTGTGCCATCAGCTGCATTTTTTTGCAGTATCAGAGGGATTGCACCAAGGGGAATAAACGAAGAGTCCCTTTCCTTAGTGTATGCTGTAAAAATGAGTGATCTCTGTGCACAACAGAGGCAGCTTTCTCTCTTCTGTGGAATGTCACTTCTACAAAGATTCTAGATGCCAATTCAGCTGCTATTTAGAATGGGGGAGGGGGATGATATCACAAATTGTTAACAGCTAAAAACCACTTAAATGATAATTTTCAAATATTCAAAGTTTTTTGTGTAAGAAGACCATTACCTTATCTGAAGCTGGTCATCTATTTCTTCATTAAAATTGGTAGTGCAGAATACATACACCAGATCTGCATCTGCATGTATGTGACGAGCACCTTCAGCCATATGGACTATGATTTATATATTAGAGGGTCTCTAAAGATCACTCACATGCTCAAAACCTCAAGGAAAAAAAAAATCCTGAGCTCCACAATTTCTGTCTGCATGTGTCAAATGAGAAATACAGTCAATCATTTAGATTTTACATGGTTTCTTCCAAAAGCCTGTGTTTCCATTGTGCACCTAGCTGTACCTTCAGTCTAGGATTCATTGCTTCCACTCAGAATAGGGATGGGATTAAAGGTGGGTATAACAAATCAGAAAGAAAGGTCAAGCACAAATGGGGCCCGAGTGGCTGGAAATACTTTTCCTCAGTTCATCTCAGACAAATCATACCAAACTCTAGACTGCTTCCCTTCTTTTGAGCTAGGGAAGATGAATTATGAACCACATAGCATAAAATATTTCCATGAAAACTCCTGCAGACTTATTTTGAACAGAAAAAATTATTGTTATCTGTAAGAATTTAGCTTTTCTTTGATCCAGAATGTCTGTTTGCTTTCTTGCCTGTATCCAAAAAAGCAGGACATTTCCTGATGTCTATATTAGACAAATACACAAACACACACATGATTCATAAAAGCAGTCAGGGGAAAAAAACATGTCAATGTTCTGCTCTCCAGGAGATTTAGTTCCTTTTCCCACCTATTTATGGTTTTCACTACTTTTCCCTCTAGTTTTCACACATGAGAAACAAAAACATACTGCTTAGCCTTGTTCAATGAACATTGAATTTTTCTGATTAAATGCGTGTTAGACATTTTCTTCCAAAATATGTTCTTTGCTTTGTAGTGAATAACTGACTATTACCTTATTTTTATGATTTGATGGCAACAGTTTTAGCTCTATCCTGTGTACCTTCACACATCACCAGGAAAAAAATATTATTTGATGGATAAAAGAGAACAAAGCTTGAAATCTCAAATAATTTCCTGAATGGAAGTAGTCAGATAGAGATAGCAAAATATAAAGAAATTTCATCCCCATAACAAATTTATTTTCCTAGACCTTGTATTTTATGCAGTATTTATTTGGAAACAAAGACATACAGAAAACCTGCCATCAGCTAATGTAATTGTACACAGAGAAACAGAAAGAACATGCTTCTTTTTACATCTCTGCTTTTATGGGGGTTGTAAGCACGTTTTCTAAATTAGATGTATGTACTGCTCCTTTAGTATTTGAGGGGGAAAATGACCCATTTAAGAGATACTCTTCAAAAAACTTGCTGCAGAAGAGAAAGGTATCCATGATTCATACTTCCAGCTGATTTACCACAGGAACAGCAATGAGGGTAGTAAAGAGAAAATTGTGATTCAACACAGTTGTTCCCAACCAAACAACTACCTTAATTGTTTTACCCATTAATTATTTTGCTCTGGCTAACTTTAATGACCAAGGAGAAAATACATTTGGAGGGAATCCAGCTCACTGCACTGCGGGCACTGTCTTGGCTCCTCATCAAATGGAAAGAACAAACATTCCCAGGTCTGATTATTAACCCAGTGTTCCAAGGTCCATCAGTGCATCCCCACCACTCCTTTTGCTTTCTGCTGCCTGATTACCAAAAATACAAGATGTTTTCTATTCAGAAGTGGTCTTCAGGGATATTCAAGCGATGGGGTAAATTTTTCAGTCCCACAAGTATTTGATTAAATTAATTTTTGTTTTGTTTTTGCAAAATTTGAACGAAATACACAAGTTCTGGCTGAGATTGTTTAAAGCATCTTTAGAATATGACTGTTTGGTATAAATGGATAAAATGCTGGTATATCTGAATCCATTCTGTCCCACAGCAAGACACAAGAATTACTCCATCCCTGCCCAAACTGGATCTCCATGTTATTCCTGTGTGGCAGAAAGGATTCACCGGCAAGGGAGTTGTCATCACAGTCCTAGACGATGGATTGGAGTGGAATCACACTGACATCTATGCTAACTATGTAAGTTTGAGCATTAGAATGCTATGGAATAGATTAACCAGTTGTAAATTTGATAAGCAGACACTCTTCCCCAGCTCATTGTCTGTTCCGCAAGTCAGCTCCTGCAGTAGAGAGACTGAAATATTTGCCTTAGGCATGATTTGGAACCTGGTCTGTGTCACAGGAAGCTGAATGTCACTTAGCAATGGTAGAGGGGCAGATATTTTGTTGTTTTGTTTTTCCTTCAGTAGACTTAGTTCCCAGACACATTTTTATGTAGCAGTTTAATGCTAAATTATTAAAGCTCCATGAAAAAGTTATGGAATTGTTAATGGCCAGCAAATTCTACCAACTTGATTGCTGCCAGTATGAGTAAATAAATAGACTCTACAACCCATTTTGTTAGCAATTTAGAAATGCCTTTTCTAGCTGTCTGAATTAATTCTGCTTCAAAAAAAAAATTTTTTTTTTTTTTTTTTTTTTTTTTTTTTTTTTTTTTTTTTTTTTTTTTTTTGTTTTTTTTTTTTTTTTTTTTTTTTTTTTTGCATGTAGGACCCAAAGGCAAGTTATGATTTCAATGACAATGATCCTGATCCCTTTCCTAGATATGACCCAACGAATGAAAACAAGTGAGTAGCTTCACAGCTGTCTGAAGAGAACAAAGCATCAAAGTGTTAGTTTGTGTGTTAGAAGATACAAGTGGAGAAATTTCTCTGTGGGTGTCCTGTGGCAATTATTTTATAAGAGGAAGAATTTGTGTAACAGAATCACTGCATGGTTGAGCTTGGAAGGGGCTTCTGAAGGGCATCTGCTCAAGCAGGGAGCTCTAGAGCCTGCTGCCCAGGATGACCAGGATGGCTTTGGAAAACTTCCAAAGAGGGAGAGGCCACAACCTCCCTGGGCAACCTGTGGCAGTGCTCAGTTGCCCTCAATGTAAAGAATCACTATTGGATGTTCAGAAGGAGCCTCCTGTGTTCAACTTTGCAGGAGCATTTTCACATTGAGGTAAACACGGGGATAAAACTCCCAGATGAAGAACTTCATAATTGTAATCTCCCTGTGATGTCCTGAATTTTCTCATGTCGCGTGTAAGGTGCTGAGGTATTTCTGCAAGGTGAAAGGAATAATGTATTCTTGTGTCTCTGTGTGTTTCTGGAATGATAGCTCCCAAAGTATATTTTTACTTCAATTCCTGCTTTGCTCTGGGAATTTAAAAAAAATTAAAAAAAAGGTCTCTTGATGAGTCTGTCAGACCTGGGCAAATCCATCATAGTCCAATTATGGATTTTGTCCATAAGAAAGAGAATAGGAGGGGCCTCCTCAGAAGCTGGTACGCAAAACAGTCAATTTCTTAAACAAATTAGAATGCCACTACTCAGTACAGATAGCAAGAAACTGATGCATTGGTTCCCTGTTTCCTATCAGACAATACAGTAGGATTCACAACATAAATCACTGTGTGAGGGAAAAAAAGAAAGATCAGTCTGAGGATAATATATCCATGGATAAGACATTTGAAAAATGGCATTTCTACTTTGTTACAGTGTTGTTTTAGAGAAAGAAGACATTATCCTCTTGTTATGATGTCATTATCTCTTAAATCTACCTGTATTGTCTCTAATCTTTATTAATAAGTAAATGGAATTCAGCCCAGAAGCATTGAAGCATGTCACTGAATAACAATCTGCAGCATTACATAATGCAATGCTCTTACCTTGAGACTTTTATAGGAAGGCTTTCTGTAGTGAGGAATTAGAATCATCCATGGAAAAAGAAAATAATTGGATAGAAAATATTTTGTTACAAGAAAAAACAGGGACATTTTAAAGGCTCACTTTCTGAAATCCTAAATAAATGCAGTCATTTAGAAAGTAAGTATCTAAACGTGTGATCAAAAAATATTTGTATCATGTTTCTGTCTGAAGACAGCCTCTTAGCCCCATAATTTTATGCCACTTTTTCACTGCACTAAAATACTGATATCTGCAGTAAGATTAAAGAAAACGTTTATCATCTCATGGAAACGTTCCTTTGAGCTAAAAGTAGGTAAAATTATATTTAATGAAGCTTTGGAGAAATAACTATTTTTGTGTTGTGTAGATACAACTCAAAAGCTCTTCAATAATTGCATTGCATTAATTGAAAGGAAGAATTTGAACAAATCAAGGTCCTTGATGAGTCTTTCTGAACAATACAACAAAGCTGTTACCGTGTGTTCTTTGTTCTTGCCGTATTTATTCAGGCATGGGACACGGTGTGCAGGGGAAATTGCCATGCAAGCCAACAACAGAAAATGCGGAGTTGGAGTAGCCTACAACTCCAGGGTTGGAGGTAAGGAAACAAAAATAATTAGATTTCTAATATGAATGGAAACAAGACAAATGCTGAGAGCTGCCAGATACCATTAATCTGAAAACTGAATGATTGGTCATTCTCGGAAAGCATTTATTTTGCAGTATTATAAGTTTCAAAATCCTGTCTAAAAACCGTGCTGAGTGACACCCATACATGACAGGATTTCTTTAATGAAGTCTGCAATTTGGTTACGAATAGATAGATAGGTAGATAGATAGAATATGTAACAACAGCATAGATAGAATATGTAACAACAGCAATAGTATAGGTGAAGATGATGATGATTATGATGACAGTAATAAAACTAGTAATCACAATGTTAAGAATATTAACAAAAATTAATAATATTAACAACAACAACAACAATAATAGCAACAACTTATACCTTACCTAGAGTTAAGACAGTATCTTTTAAGGAATGAAGGACTAATTACTTATTACTGTTTATCCAGGGAAGGAGAGGGATTGAGTAGAGTGAAAGTAGGAGTACACAAAACTATACCCATCAATATTTGCAGCATATTGTTTCCATTTACACAACCACATTCAAAAGATCATGTCAGTCAAGTCATGCAAACTGCTGTCCTTTTTGTTTCAACACCTTCCTTCTCGACTGTCACCACAAGTTAAACTTGAAAACAAGTAAAGTCTTTCTTGCCCATCAATCAATATCGTACTTTTGTTTCTTAATCTTGTTAGTTGTTTATGAAGTAATCATGGTGCAAGTATCAGTTGCAAATGGTTATTTAGCTCAGAGGAAGTTATTTGTACAGTCCTTCTTTTTCCATTATTCCCTCTTTTTCCTTTTAAATGACGGGTGGCAATTGACACCCATAACTGTCATTCCCACCATTTCAGCGTGGTGTTTTGACGGCTCCCAGTTACTCCACTGAGCTGTCATGGATGTCAGCTTTGCAGGTTGCCATTGCCATAATGCATTATGCTGTCATGATCTGTTTAAATAAAATATCTCACTCATAACATGAAGACGTCAGATTTTCAAAGGAAGGCAAAATGGATGAAGCTGCAAAGATGTCTGAACTCCCACTGTGCCCATATTTTAAGGCTCTTGCATCTACAGAGGAGGTTCTTCCACAGCTATTTGCATATGATCCGTGCTCATTTGCAAATGCAAACTACAGATCTATGTGGGATGATTTATCTGGAAAAGGGAAATAACAGTAGGGAAAGCAGTCCAGCAATCCATATTATCCAGCAAGCAGCATACACTTGGGTGGGGGAGGAGGAAGAATGGAAAAGTTGAAAGAAATTGTAGGCTGTTAGTTGTGACCAGACTGATTAACACCCAGACAGGGGTGTAAGAAAAATATGTTCAAAGAGCAGTGGAAGATAAGAGAAGTCTTCAAAAGACTCAGATAAATTTGGAGTGGCTAAATGCTGGAAGCTTTTTCAATGATCCCAGTTCTACAGGATTCATTTCTCCAGAGGCTGTTTTTTGTCTTTTTTTTCTTTTAAATCCATGAAATGACACATTGCACACTTCTACTTGACATTAGTTCAGGATGACTTCCTTAAGTGGCTGTTTGCTTGTAGCAGTTGCCATATTGGACAAATCCAGTGGTCCACAGCCAGTGCCTTCTCTTTGATAGTCAGCAATATCTGCTTCAGGGAAAGAAACCCTGACAATGTGGAATACCTTGCTCTCCAACATTCAGCATCACATTTTGGTTTAACTTTGCCTTGAGGGGTAAAACAAAACATTCCATTGATATTTTTGTTGTTTGTTTTCTGTGAAAGTACTGAGTTTAACAATCCTGAGTGTTCCCTCCAGTCACATCAAATGCCTGGCCCTATTCTGCAACATTGACTGGCCTCTCCAGCACTTTGTGGCTGTGAGTACCATGGGCTTCCCTGTGCACTGTGTGAAGAAAAAATACTCTTCATGCCAGTTTTCAAAGTGACACCTTTCAGTGCCCTTTAACATTCACCTCTTGGTCTTTGTAGAGCTGAGAAATGTGTATCGATCACCTCTGGTATAAATCAGGGTATGTGTATTTTTGTGCATACCTGACTGTACCACTGTGTTATGATATTTCCATGGTGCTGCCATGGAAATTAAATTATTAAGAAGCTCCATTTTACAAAGGACTGGGCTGAGAGTTCATGCACCGTGATGTTTTGCTAAAAATAGCCCTTCTGCCAGGCAGACACATATATGTGTGTCTGAAATTACCTTGGGCTTTGTCTGTTTTTGATTTTGCGGGACTGATGATGGGAGCAAGAATAGAAAAGAGTTTATGCAAGAGGATGTAATTGGAATCTGCTTACGGGAATATCACTGCAGTCATCAAATCCCTGAGTTGACTTGAGCAATCAGGATTTCTGACGATCAGGAAGGCAAGGCAGTGATTTTTTTCCTTGAGCTGTTTTTATCAGTGTGGAGTCATTGTTCTTGGGGGTTTTTCAGTTTTTATTTTGTTTTGTTTTGGTTTTTTTTCTCCCTTATTACATTATTTATCTGCAGACTTGTCTGTCTTTTTCTGTGGGAAGAATGTGCACATTATTCCTCACATTCCCACTATCTCATTATATGTTGCAAGCTCTCACCTGCGGCTTGCAATCGCTTTCAGATGGGCAGATCTTTGCTGGCATGAGAGAATCTGGAAATTCTGAGCCAACAGAAAAAAAAAAGAGTAATGAAACCATTCTCAGTTTAAGACAAGCCTGGGTAAGTGGTGTTTTTAGTACCTGAGGCACAGGATATACCTCGGTGCTTTTCCCAGCTTTGTGAGTGATAGCGGAGCAGCTGTGGTAGAGCGGATTAACTCCTTTGTCTGATTTTAGCACTAATGAATATGAAATAATAAAGCTCAGCTTTATCTCGGAGGTATTAGGAGTATTAAGGGGTCAGCCATTCAGGAAAATAATTATGCTTGCAGTCTTTTTTTCCTCTGCTTGATAGGATAAAAAAAAAGAACAAGACACTGAGCTGCAAGGGTAAGGTGGGAGGTTTTTTGTTGTTGGGTATCTTTGGGTATTTTTTTTTTTTTTTAATAGAATGACTACATTTTGCCTGTTGTGCTTTGGAAAAATCCCCGTTTTATGAAAAATACTAGAAAATGAGTAGTCATAATTCACCAGCTGCCAGCAATGGTGCAGCTGCTGTAGTACTAACCTGCCAAATCCAAGGGAACCCAGACATTTTTATTGCTTGTAAACACAGGCTGAATCCTAACTGAGGTGACTCTTCTATTGCTGCTGTTGCTGTAAGAGCCATGCCACAGTGGGAATTTTGCCAGATTTCTCCTTTTTCTGCTGTCCTCCAGCATTGGACAGTAGTAGCAGCCCCCCTGCAGAGCTGTGGCTTTGCATAGCAAAGGATCCAGTGCAGATGAACCACTGCCTGCACCTGAATTTTAAGTACCACTGAGTTCAGGCTTGCACTGAAGGAGATTAGATCATGCAGCTCCTAATAAATTGTTAATGACTAGATATCTCTGCATTGCTCACAGCAGAAAAAAATGTGGCAGTAGAAAAACAGTGAGGGTTTTTTTTTTTCCTTTTTCTGTGATGGAGATTGAAGAACTGGTGAAATTGCAGTGTCACAGAGACAGCAAAACCTTTAATGACTGTTAGGAACAAGTGCTTTGGTCAGAACACTCAGAACTACATCTTTGAACTAAAACTCTTAGAACTCTTACAGATAAAAGTAATGTTGGTAAAACCTATTTAATTTCAGTGGCATTTTAGCAGTTTGAGAAGTCTTTGTTGCAGATCTAAGAGAGAAGAAGGAGGAAGAAAGAGAATGCAATAAATAAAAAAAAAAGGAACACTAAGCAAGACTTCTTCTTTGGTCTCTGTAGAAGGAGAGAAAAGAATAAATAGGAGGCTAAAGAGATTTTAAGGTTTTTTTTATATTATTTTTGTAGAGGAACACTGAGCTTTGCATATAAAGTCTATTTGTACTGTTTTACACTGACAGGAGATTTCTTTAGTACTTTTTACCTGAGCAGTAGTCAGCTGAGGTTGCAGTAGTTATGGCTTAATTTTACTGGAAACATTAAAAACAGTTAACTAAGACAAGGAGGAGGGAACAGAAAGTAAATCCAGTCTGCTTCTCTTTTTTTCCCCTGTGAAGGTATACGAATGCTGGATGGAATAGTCACCGATGCTATTGAGGCCAGTTCAATTGGTTTCAATCCAGAACATGTGGATATTTACAGTGCAAGCTGGGGCCCCAATGATGATGGCAAAACTGTGGAGGGACCTGGGAGACTGGCCCAGAAGGCTTTTGAGTACGGGATAAACCAGGTATGGTACTTCAGGGAAATATAAAGCAAAAAAATTTGGCAGAGAAGAGAATTTTAGAATGGTTGATACCAGAGAAAAAATGAAAATGGTTTGTGCTGTCTTTGCTCAAATACATTTGAATGGGCACAATGTATTTTAATAGTACAGGTGAGAGAAATTTCCAGCCAGAAAGGACTTTGAGGAAACACCATCAGGGCTTTCTAAACTGGTTTTTAGTTGCTAGTCTCCATGGATAAGCTTTTTTTTTTACATCTTAATTTTGCTGCCTTGGTCTCACCCTACACCCACCCTTCTCTGCTGCTGGTTTTACACTGAACAGTAATTGGATTTCTGCACTGAAAGCCCATAAAATTTGATACAAAATTTCTGCTTCATGAATATTTTGCTGTGTGAAATAGTGATGCATTTTAGCACCCTGTGGATGAGCTTGTATTGTGCTAATTGCATTAATTTATAAATTGGTGCATGTCACAATCCAATTAAAATGGAAATAGTACAAATGCATGATGAGGAATACTGGGAGCAATATTTTTACGGGTTTCCTTTTTTCATGTTACGCTCCTTGGATCTGTTGGGTGATAAATAGGGTGGAAACTGAGAGCTGCCATGAATTTATTAGTAAACTATTCTAGCTCTTGCCAGTGAGGTGAAAAGATATCTAAAGATGGACAGGTACAATAAAGAGAGGAAGACTGAATCATAGAGGGGAGAAGAGAGAAATAGCTTGAAGGACAAAGAAACAGAAAATTTAGGATAAAGGTCAATTAACATCAGTAGGCAGAAGCAGAAAAAGAGAGAACAATTTAAATGCTGACAGCTGAAAAAGACAATATGAGGGAATAATGGAGACAGAGGAGAGAGCTTGTAACAGGTTATATGCCTATTGGTAGGTAGCAAGAGCAGAGGGAGAATTAAAGGTGAAAATTAGGCAACAAATATTAATTTGTCTTACTCTGAAAAGGCAGGGTCTTTGGTGGAGGATATATCTTTTTCTGTAGCTTGTTTTATTTCTAATGGGGAACAAATTTACCCGTTTGTCTCTCAGGATTCAAGGATTCCTTTTGCAAAGGTCTGTTTGGTCTCCATTCTGCTTAGAGTCAGCCAGTGCTGGGATTGACAACAGCTCTAATCCCTGGATCCTTCACTGCTGCTCAGGTGAAGCACCTGAGCACAGCCTTAACCTGAAGAACCAAGGAATAGTTGCCATCACACTAAGTAGAATCAGAGCAGGTGCTGGGATATACCAGTGCTTTTCTGGACTGCAGCCTTTGCTCTCAAAGATACTATATGATTTTTGTAGTTGATGTGGCTTGTCTTTCCAAATTTAAAACCTGTATCACAGAGTACATCTTATTTCTCTTTGCTTTTCATGTTTTAAGTGCTGCAAATATGTTATCATTTGCATAAATAACTTCAAATCTCACCTGAGTGGAATGATAAAAAAAAAAATTGTATTCCAACTGCTGTGGAATATTAAATGTGCCTATATTAATAATGAACAACACATACAATTTTGCTTGTCACATGAAACATATTCTTTTCTGCTGAAGAACGAGTAGAGCTTAAGAATGCACAGTGATGCATGTTTCCTCTGTGATAGCTGTGATGTTTTACATGGCTATACCTGGAGGCTGGTGGTGCTGACCCACAGATCTGTGAGAGAAGGGAGGGTTTCCAGTGTGTCCATCACTAATACTCCTAACCCATACCTCTGTGAGCACAGGAAAGGAAAATTAAATAACGCCTGATAAACTTGACGATTTTTTTTTTAAAGGCTTTTTTTTTTTTCTAGATATAGTGAGGATCAAACAGCAACATGTGGAAAAATTTACTTATTGAACACAGACTGTTTTTAACTTGAAAACCTGAGGAAATCTGCTGTATCAGGAACACTAAACCTAGGCCAGTGAGTCTAAGAGTTGTGCTGTGGGGTGAGCAGTAGGGTATCACAAACAGCTGGTTTATTCTGTCTCTGTGTTCTACAGTGCTTATGGAAATTGCTCCTCTCCTATGTTTGCTATATTAGGCTTTTGGGGGAAAGGAGTTGTTAAGGATACATTGTGCCATCTGAAATCTCTTTGATAATAAAGTTCATTTCCTTTTATTTATTTTATTTTTTTTTTCCCTAGGGACGAAATGGGAAAGGCTCCATTTTCGTGTGGGCTTCAGGGAACGGAGGTCGTCAGGGTGATAACTGTGACTGTGATGGTTACACTGATAGCATCTACACCATTTCCATTAGCAGTGCTTCTCAGCAAGGGCTTTCTCCCTGGTATGCAGAGAAGTGCTCTTCAACTCTGGCCACAGCATACAGCAGCGGGGACTATACTGACCAAAGAATTGTAAGTTGCTTTTACCAGTTTCAGAACAAATAGAAAGGTATGATATATGCAAATAATAAACAAAACCTTCTAAATGCTTGGTTTTGAGTGCCTGCTTTGTGTTATGTGCTTAGTGCTTTTGTCTGAAAATGTAAGGGAATTGTAATCCAAAAAGGGATTGTATTCTTCTATTCCTCTACCTTAAAGCAATGGTTAAACAAAATCATTGTGTCAATGCAGTTAAATAAACCTGCTGAATTTGTCTGCTGTTTGTGAGCACTGTTTGTGCATGAAAGTGGTCTCTGCATGCCTTGATATGGCACTATTATTCACAAAGGGCAAATGAAGAGAGATTGAGAGTAAAAAGAAAACCTGTGATGTCAGGGCCACTGTTATACCTTGTCTTACATTTTTGAAGACACGAGACAGCAGCGACAGTGCCTCCAAACCCTCCAAACTCGGCAAGCAGGCATACCAGTCTGTGTGCCTTCCTTAATTGTGCTGAAGAAAATTGCCGTGGCACAATAATGCTGAAATACCTGTAATTTCTGCCCAGCCCTAGTGGATGCTAATTTTACAACACACTGCACTGATGGGGATTAAAAGAGCGTCATTCCAAGTTAGCCTGGAGATCAGTCCTTACTCTGTGGCTTCTCTTTATAGTCGAGATTTAGATAAATGGGCTGATGAGTTTGGTGTTTATTCATTACAAATTATAGTTCTTCTGCTGAAGAGGGAGCAGAACACCAATGCTAATCCTATGAGTAATTTCCTAGTAAGCAGTAATTTTGAATGTTCTAGGCCCAACACAATGATCTGTTTTCATGAATCACCAGTAAGCCTGAAACACTTATTGTGAAACCTTTAGACTAAAATAAGATATTCAGAGTGGGAGTATTTTGTTCCAACAAAAAACGTTTTGATACTAAAATTATAGTTGAAGTAAAAAGAGTGGATTGAAATATGAACAGATTTAAAAACTCATCACTTTTTTTGCTGGTGAGGAGTGTATTAATACGCACCAAGTAAGGGGCACATAGTTACATTTGTAAGTATGGATACAACAGTATTTACAACTGTTTATTTATGCTTTTTTGGCTTTTTCTTTGTTTTTTATTTTATTGTTTTGTTTTGTTTTCTTTTCTTTTCTTCTTTTTTTTTATTTTTAATTTTCTGTCAGACAAGTGTTGATCTTCACAATGAATGTACAGAAACTCACACAGGGACCTCTGCATCTGCACCTCTGGCAGCAGGAATTTTTGCTCTGGCACTGGAAGCAAAGTAAGATGTCACACCACAACCTTTGAAACTTCTTTCCCTCACTACCTTCCCCAAAATGCCTGCTTTAAGAGGCACTACCTCATACTGCAGCTCCACTTTTTGTCAGACTTGCTCAGGCTGATGACCAAAAATAAGCAGCTACTTGCCCCAACTCCTTCCTAGAAAAGCAGGACCAATGTGAATAAATCATGATGACTGAGGAATATTTTGTGGGTTGGCAACAGCATTTACTGATTTATGGTTAGATGCACCTAAAAGTGAGTGTGCACAGGGATTCAGGAGAATGTGATTTGAAGACAATAAGCTGCAGGAGTTTAAGCTAAGCCTCAACCAATTTGCAGAAGAATTTCTGCCAGTGATGAGGCATAAAAGAGAGGGTGCCCAAGTTTGTCTGTCAGAGCAGGCAGGGAGCAGCCAGGTTTGGATCCTGTGGGGCAGGTAGTCAGAATTTAGGCCTTGGAGAAGCTAAGAAAGGGCAGGGCAATGACTTTTTTTCCACAGAAAACACTTTAGGCAGTAGTGCATAGGTTCAATGCTTGTATCTTGTAGATTCAGCTCCATTTTCTACTGCACACCCCTTTGGTGACAGGAGCCTATATTAAATATTAGATATTAAAAATTAGATCTTTTAAAGGGTAGACTGCATCACAGACAGAATCAAATACAGAGGTTCTAAAAAGATGGGTGGGAAATTCTAGTACCGCTAGCTAACTAAAAATGCCTGAATTGTTTTGGAGGATTGGACTTTATTCTTGCTGGATACCTGTTCTTCATGGACACAGAAATCTTGTCTGCCCAGAAGTATTGTGAGGATAAGTGCAAAATGCTGTGTGTTATAAAACAGTGGGATGCCGTATGCATTCAAAGCACGTTCTGTTTCAGTTTAATAATTGATAGAAAAATGACAGATAGCCCTGAAACAACTAACCAGGAACATTTCCCAAACAGCCCAGATCTAACGTGGAGGGATATGCAGCACTTGGTAGTGTGGACTTCAGAATATGATCCACTGGCTGGAAATCCAGGATGGAAAAAAAATGGAGCAGGACTGATGGTCAACAGCCGGTTTGGGTTTGGGCTACTCAACGCCAATGCCTTGGTGGATTTAGCTGATCCCAAGAGATGGAAAAGTGTACCAGAAAAGAGAGAGTGTATTGTCAAAGACAAGAGCTTTGAACCCAGGTAAGGATTTGCATTACCAGTTACCAAGCTGGTGCCTATTGTAATAAAGCCTGAAGAATCATATTCTTCACAGATTGCTCTGAAGAGGAATAAGGGACTTCTTTTTATTCATTTAGTTCTGCCAGACTGTATTCCCCAGAGGCAGGCAAGCAGCTTTGCTTCCTGGTTTGTTTTTTTTTAGTGTAAGACTGATGGAAATTACTATCATGAAGCCTTAACAAAGACTAAGATTATTATGTCTGCTTGTGCAGACAGTGTATAAAAGAATGATACTGTGAGGCTGAGCCCAATCAGCAAGGCTGTGAATTTTTAGAAAACCATCAGAAGACAGATAAAAAGATACTGATGTCTCACAAAGATTTTTTAAAAATAAAAGTGTCTGTAACGGGTCTAAGCAATTCTTCTCCTGTGACAGGCTTGTGTATGTTGTAATCAAGGTGATATATTGAACTTTAGTAATGTCTGCAGCATTTCTCTTACAAAACACAAGTGTGTCAAAGGCTCACTGAAAAGTCTTATGATCCACGTGCCAACAGCACAGCGAGCCTGAACAGAGAGATTAATTATCATTAGTCATTGAGCTGGTTAATCAATAAGGATATCTAGACTCTTTTTTTCTCTACATGTTCACATACGGATTTTTATCCAGAAAAAATTATCTATTTCAAAGGCTGAAATTATACCATATGAATGCAACAAAGGTCTGTCTGCAGAAACATATTGAAGTGTTTTGGAGAGTCACTGCTTGGCAGTCTTATTATTTATGCTATTTCACTATCAAATTGTTTTTATGGACACTGTCTGTTTCACAGAATGTTGACCCACTACTGATGTATGCCACACTTGCTCTTTATGTATTTTTATTGCAGTCCTGCATGTTACATTATGAAAACAAAGATCCCATGATACTGAGCTTAGAATTATTTATGTGGAGATTTAGATACCCATTCTATTTGGAAGTAATGGGAACTGTGCAGAGAAAGCTGTGCAGTCTCTCTCTGCACAGATCATGAACAGCAGGCATTACCTTTTTTTATTGAGCTGGCATTGACTCTTCCTTTCTCATCTTTCTGAAATGGCTGTTAAACATGCCATTCATGACCCAGAATCAAGAGTTCCTGTGGGTAATAAAAAAAACTACTTTAATTTTGACAGATTATTAAGAGCAAATGAAGAAGTCATTATTGAAATTCCCACAAAAGCCTGCGAGGGTCAAGAGAACTCCATTGCATCTCTGGAGCACGTGCAGCTCGAGGCAACGATTGAGTATTCCCGTAGAGGTGATCTGCATGTCACTCTGGTTTCTCCATCAGGTACAGGAGGCAAAGACACATTTAATTTGTGTTGTTGTAGTGTGTAACATTTACTTCATGAAAAAAATAAAAATGTGGTTTTCTGTGGTTAAAGAGAGCTAAATATATCATTGGACAAGTCCAATGAGGATAAAGCATCCAGGGAGCTATAGAGACGCCTCTTCAACCTTCACCTGTTCTGGGTTCTTTTTGTGAAAAGGGGTTTGAAAATCATCCTTCAGAAAATGAAGGCACAGAACATTTTCACAGAGAGAACTGGACCTAGGAAACCTCAGGGCTCCTGGCAGACAATGGATTATAGATCAATAATTCTTATCAGACTTCCTGTGATTTAGCAGACTAATGGAAAACTGAGGATATCTGATTCCTTAGGTTTCATTTCATGCATCTCCCCATTGGGGTGTTTAAAAAAACAAGTCTTTCTGTTAGATACCTTAGTACAACTGTACTAAATGAGCTAGAATATGTCAAGCTATCTTGACAGTGTCCTGAAACAACATAATAAGACCTAAAAAATTTATATATATTATAAACAACTAAGAGTAAAGTCTGTTAGATCAACTGGTATTAAAAGGAAAAAAAAAAGACAAGCTTTCACATATGAATTTAAATATCAGGCTGATCTAATTTTTCTGTTTCTAGGTAGCAATCATCAAGTACTGCTGCCTCCACTGCACTATCATTTTGCTTTCATGGTTAAATTGTTTTTCCTTTGTTTCTTGCTGCTTTTTTACTTTCTTGCAAAGCATTAGTAGCAAATGTATGTCATTCCTTTTCTATATTCATGGTGTTACCTTTAAATATATTTATAAATTGTGACAAGGCTCCTTGGGACTTCACTGCTCCTTATTATGTAAATATTGCTCCCTTGCATTTTTTCTTGTACGTAAACAAGCCAAACAAATCTCCTTCTGTGCAGTAGAACGTCTTTTGCTGCAGAAATTCTTTGTTAGTTGCAGCATTTTTGTAATAATAACAATGCAAATGTATTTTTTTACCCTGTTGGAGGATCAGGCTGTGACAATATATCTCCACTCACCAAAAAAAACTCTGAACCAGTGACGAAATCATGATTGTGGTTTCATTATACTGCATGAGTTTTACCTTCAAAATTTCCATTTCAGGAGTTTCTTGAACAGCTCATAGGTGGGAAAGATTGGCTGTGCCTAGCATCTTCTCCTTATGCTTATTTTATGTGCATTCACTACCTTTTCATGCCAGAGATAGAACACTGAACAAGATGTACCTTCTTGGTGTGACCTAACAGCTTGTGCACTCCTAAGCACGGCTGTAAAAATAATTACAGGAGCCACTGCTAAAGGAGGCACTGCTGAGCAGTGTGTTTTCCAGGTCACCTCTGCTCTAGGTGCTGTGCAAGCTGACAAGTATGAAAAGCAGGAACAGGAGGTGCACGGACAATCAGAGTGTTGATCTTGCACCCACACAGGGACCAGCACTGTCTTACTGGCTGAGAGAGAGAGGGACAAGTCTCCCAATGGCTTCAAGAACTGGGACTTCATGTCTGTCCACACCTGGGGGGAAAATCCAGCAGGCACCTGGATTTTAAGAATTACTGATATGGTGAGTATGCCTGTATGCTAACTGGCTGTGTTTGGGAGCTAGCACAGATTAAATGCTCACTCATCACTACAAAGCATGTTGAGTAATGAGCCTGCTCATTAAGCAAGCCAAATGAGAGGTTATTTAAGATATCCAGCTGGGTTAAGGACTAAAGAAAAAAGGTAGGGTCAGATTTTCTTGTTCTTTACCTACAGGCAAAGCACCATTCTTGTTCCACTGGCCTGTACCTGTGAAAAAAATTTCATGCCTGTTTTTTTTCAGATGCACGTCACCAACATTAATCACTTGATGAAGTTTTCTTTGATTCTTGGATTGAAACATGAAATAAAAGGAACATATGGTCAACTGGAAATTCTTTTTTGCAGAAAACAGCACAGCATGGATCTAGTCTTCTCTTGGTCCATGTGCATAGTTTTCATTAACTGAGAACCTTTTGAATTAATGATTTTTGGAGGATCTCAGGGACTTATTCTCATGTATACATTTCCCTAATTTCTTGCTGAGAGTATCTAGTGCTGAACAACATTTAAGGATTAAAGCTAAGTAGTCTATAGATACGAAATAAATCAGTTTACTAAAGCCACCTGGGGATATGGATTGCAGCAGCAAGACACCAGAATTAAGCTGCTTGGTGGGCAACTGAAAAATAATTTCCTTCAAAGAGAGAGTGATCAAGCTCACTCATCTCATTGAAGTTGTCTGTTAATAAGCTTGTCCTTAGGGGTCAGGTCTTGCCAAAAACTGAAAGCTTCCTGTTAGCCACTGAGCTTTCAGCCCCTATTGGCCTCAAATTGTAAACAGGAGGGTTTTGCCAAGAGCTGAGCAGCTGGACAAGGTACCAGGAGTAAATATTACTATCAGCAGTGTAGTGTTAATGCTGCTTATAGATAGCCCCATGGTTACAGATATCCTGCTCTTTGAATGCATTTTTGTGGAACAAAGGTAAGAAGAGCATTTTGTTTGTAAATTAGCTCTCATTTCAAGTGAGAACTTCCTGAGACTTACAATAAAGCAAGATTTTTGTCCTCAAGGCGTAATACACTCTTTCCTCACCTTGTTTTTTCTTTACTTGTCTCTTCCACATTCTAATTCCACTACTACTTCTACTGCCACCAAAATTTATAAATAAACATTTGCTGTTTGCTTCCACACACTGTGTTTCAGATTGCTGTTATACACCACATAATAGCAAAGAATTTCATTTCACATTATCAATTCCAATGGTAACTTTTATAAGGAAGTTACCAAGGAATGGCCTAGTGAACAAGTTCTAATAATGCAAAATACTACTTCAGTAACTTCTAGCATTCTGTGTTATGACAAAATTCTGTTGATGCTTACATGATGAATTAATAATTATGTTACATCAAAATGTGGATATTTTGAGTGTGTAAGCTATTGTATTAAATCCCACACTCTAATATACTCTGTCTCTACTACATCTGGGGTTTTTATGCTTATGAATCATACTCTTTAGGTAGGTATTTAAAGCCTGATAATTTGCTTTGGTCGCTTCTGTGTACTTTGCATTCAAGTGTCTATTTTGCTCTTCTGTGTCCTGAGAGCCTATTCTGATGTCACGCTTGTTTTTCAGTCCAGGCGAATACAAAATGAGGGGAGGATTGTAAACTGGAAATTGATTTTGCATGGCACTGCTACCCAGCCTGAACACATGAAGCAGCCACGTGTGTATACATCCTACAATGCTGTGCAGAATGACAGAAGAGGAGTGGAGAAGATGACGGATCTTGTAGAGGTAGAGTTATATAACATTTATTACTTATGTGCTTTTTAGTTTATAAGAAAATGTTGGGGATTTTTTTTGTTTGTTTATTTTGGGGGGTTTTTTTGTGTGTGTGTGTGGTTTTTTTTTTTTTTTCTAGTAAGAAGACACATTTTTATTCTGTATTCATTTCATCTAACTCCTTATTTGTTTTGAGTGTATATCATAATTTTGCCCATGTCAACAACTGATATTTTTATTAGTCTCTCTGTTTCAAATTGCAAAATCTAAGGGGTTTAAGATGATAACAGGAAATTGCTCCTAAAGCAAGGAACTCTGTGGCTAATGCAGTTGAGTGGTGGAAGGAGGGAGGAAGACACCTCTGACAGACACAATAAATTTATATAATTCTACTGAGAACACATGTCACATTCTCAAGGAACTTTGCCGGCTGGAGTGTTTCCAGTGAGTTTGCAAGGAATTTCAGGAACAAAGGGCTTGACAAAAGTCAGGGACTCGCCGATTCAAAAGGTTTGGCTCAGTGGACCTGTTGCTGCCAGATGTTTTAGCACCCCCTGTTTACCCTACAGATAACAGTGCTCTAAAAATATGACAAGGCAGGGTGACCCTGGGTTTCAGGATGCACAGGATGGTAGTAATGCACATTTTCATAGTGCTTGATTGCGTCAACAGCATCAGAAAATAATCTCATCACATCCAATTGTCTCCCCATTAAGTAATTAGGACATCCATAAAGCACAGATAGTTTAACCTTCCTCAGACAGGTTATGAAAGGTGGGTGTGATAATGGCCTCTAAATCCATTACATAAATGTCCCCAGGTCTGGCAGCCAAGGGCAAGAAAACAAATGGGAAGAAAGTAAAAGTGGATTCAGCAGGGGCTGTAGGAGAAAATGGGTGGACGTAGTAAGAATTACATGAAGACAAAATGAGTGTTCAGTTAGAAATACAGCTCTAGGTTGAATGAGGAAGCTCTGCAGGCATATACTAGTGTTGATATAAGATCACGCCTCTCACCAACTGCTCTGTGAACCTATAATGAGTCTTCCAAGGGCTCCTAGGAAGGTGTTATGACCACCCATTAGCCATACTTCACTGTCTTTTTCTCAGGTAGAGATCATCTACAGAGAAGGTTTTGTGGAAACACTGGTTCCATCCTTTCCCTGAGAATGCAAGGCACAATCAGAACTGCCACCACCACTGCATATATGTTTCCTTCATTTAGAGTGCTGTGTCTTGTGACATAACCAGAATTATCTCTTAAGACTGGGACAAATACTGGTATAAAATGAGGTGTTGTCTCCTTCCAGTGTGGAATCTGAATTTATAAATACCTATATTGTAGGAGGATTTGATATCTTATACAGTGTAGTCCTATCAAAAGCTTGTTTTGGTTGACAATGGTCTGCTTGTTTCCTAGATGCCCAAGTCGTTCCTGAATGAAAAAAAATAACATTTTCCCACGCTTAGGTGGAGACTACCAACCAGAGCAAGCCTTAATCCAGTCAGTCTTTCATTGGCACCTGACCTTTTTTCATGCTAATCTGTATTCTAGGACCATACCACACTGGAGAGCCTGAGTGAAAAACCCAAGGCCACAAAAGACACCGGCAGCAGCAGTGACAAAGCAGAAGATAAAATCCCATCAGAAGCCATGCTGCATTTACTGCAAAGTGCTTTTAGCAGACAGATGGATCAGAAGCAGCTGCCGAAGAAGACCGCAAGCGAGAAGTTAAACATTCCATACGAACACTTCTATCAAGCCCTCAAAAAATTGAACAAGCCCTCCCAGTTAAGAGGCTCAGAAGAAAGTCTGTACAGTGACTACGTTGATCTTTTTTACAATGCCAAACCTTACAAGCATAGAGATGATAGACTGCTGCAAGCGTTGGTTGATATCATAAATGAAGGAAATTAACTGTAGGGTATGGCACTGAGTTGGAAATATTCGTTCTCCCCACCTGTAGTTTTTTTTCCCAAAGTCTGTGTATGCTCTAGTTGTGTGATTGCTGCTTTGATTGCTTCATATTTAATACAAATATCAAGGAAGGGAAAAAACGGGTGCGAGGGGATAAGACAGCAAAATTACACTTTTTAGTATTATCCTTTTTCAAAATCTTTCTTCAGAGTAGATTTGCCCCCTCAGGCATAAAATGCAATAGTACTCCCCTGAAAACCCTAATACTCTATTTTAAACAATTTTCACATTACTTATTCTTCCACCCTCTTCACTTAAGCATGCAGTAGGATTCAAAACCTGAATTACCAAGCAGTTTTGAACCAAACTGCCAAAGCTATGGGGATATATTCTCATCCATGGATTTGTCATGAATATTGCAGTCTTTGTTATACTTGTCATTTATTCCGATTTAATACTTGCAGCCAGTACTGCTTCCGTCCATAGGTGTTTTGTTCCTTCTCCAAACAATGCTCCCTTGCCCTTCTCTTCTCCTGTAGAGGAACATCTGGGAGGCTGGGGTTGGACTGGGGCATCAGTGAACACTGATGAAGTTATTCACAATCTAGACTACAGACAGAAACATGCTAATAAAAGAGAACCCCCACTGAGGCATCCCAGACCATGGGATGGAATTCTCTCCGGCAGACTTGGAACTTACCCAAGTGAAGTGCCTGAATTCTGAGCCTGGTCTTTCTAGGCCCTACGTGTTTAACGAGGACAGGGTCTCACTTCAGAGCACTTGGCTTTCTTTTCACCAGTTATGAGTCACCTGATGGAGTACTGATCTATTTGTGTCAAATACATGAGCTTTGGGCTCCAACCTCCTACCTGTGGAGCCTCAGTCTGGTCTCAAAATTAGTACAAAGCTGCCTTCTGAGATGCCTACATCTGCAAGTAGCCAGGCCAAGTGGAGCAGTGAGCCTAGCTGTTGCAGAAAGGTCCACCCAAAGACTGTAACATTCCCAAAATATCTACGAAGACGAGGCAAAAATGTCAGAGATTAAAAAAAGAAAAAAATAAAAAAAAAAAAAAAGAAAAAAAGAAAAAAGTACCCTGGGAGCAGTGAGCATGGAATGTGGAGTGGGAAGAAGAGGTTGAGGCAGAGGTGGCTGTCAGAAAGCAACTAGGGTGAGCAACTCCCTAAATTAGCAGTTTTCCACACATACCTCTTTAACGAGAGTCAAAATTATATATTATTTTGTTTCTAATAATTAAAAAATAAAAAGCCATGTTGGATGGTCAGAAAAGCTAGGGGATCTAGAACAAGGAAATGAAGATTCCCAGGGGATAGTTATCTCATTGAAGTGCTAAAGAAAGCCCAAAAAAGTGCTGTCTGCTTTTTACTTTTCGCCCTCTTGCCTACTATTGAAATGTGTTTTGCAGACTCTCTAGAAATATTTGATTAGATTCTTTTTCACTGTCTATTCCTTAAAATTATGCAAGTGTCACTAAGACAGGAATTTTACATTTTGCTCATAATCCATCAGTTCAAATAAAAGTTTTTCAAATTTGACACCAAATCCTGTAATTTAAAGGTAAACCTATTTACTGTAACTAATTAAGACTTCTGTGGAAAAAAAGGACTTCTCCAAAGACAACCTTGAAAATTTTTTACCAAACGTAAGATTTAAAAAACATTCTTTGTGGTGGCTTCATGGCTATCTTGGTCTTAGCCTGCCTTTTTGCCAGTTTTAAGGACTCTTTAATATTCTTCTAGTCAGCAGTTGAAGGATAATATCTCTGCTATTGAATGCTGCTTCTACTGAATCTCTCCCTCTCTACTAAGAAATTTGCTTAGGAAGAGAAGTCATTAAAAAAAAAATAAAAATTCCTGCAAGTGGTCCAGATTAGAAAGCTTTCCCTTAGCTGTCCTTTCCATGCAAAAGCTTTCTGGCAATGCATAACTAATGAACAAGCAAACCATGAAAATTTCTAATTGCTGCTATTACAGAATGAGAGCACTTATTTTCACTAATGTTTAATTTTCAGGAGAGACTCCTATGGCAAGGTAAGGGCCACTTTCAGTCCTGTGCAATGAGGCTTAGCGCTGGTTCCCTTAGATAACAACAAGTCCTCATTCAGGTATATTACAGTGAGGAAAGTACTAACAACACTCCATCAGGCCTTGAAAGAAATGTTCAGGTTAAAAGGGTGGGAAACAAAAGACCCTCCTTTGTTTTAAGATCAGTTCCTATGCTGTAGCCAAAGTTTCAACAGACAGCAAGTTTAAAATCTCTCTTTTGAATGTTTCCAACCCAGATCAGCTTGTACAGGAGTAAATTATTTTTATTGTTAGTCTTTCCTTGGTGCCTGTGTGGGTTTTGTGAAAAATGTAAAAGTAAAAAAAAAAAAAAAGTTTTCTCTCAGAATTTTAAATTATATTTTCGTTACAGGTATTTATAATATAGCAAAGATTTTATTGAACAGACAGAATTTTAAAAGGCATAATAAATTATATTGAAGAACAAGATTTTTTCTTGAGAAAGAGACAATTTCATCCAATAAAAGTATTTTTTAAAAGGCATGTGACAACAGCAACTGCAACATGTATGTGATGTGATGTTAAAATTTGTCTACCAGTAGCATAATACAATGTGTTAGCAGAGCTCAGTGTGTGGTCTTAACATTTGTAAAGAAAACAGTAAGATAAAGCCAAGCTATTGACTTAAAAGGAATGGGAAATGGAGTTTAGAATGAAAAATGATGGCTTGGGGAAGTAACCAGGATTGGGTGGAAAGAAATGTGGAATGTATTGAAAATGAGGGTTTCCAAGGGATCTCTTCAGCAGTAACACTCCCTTGTTTCCTTCTCACAACAGCAGCCAAATAAGGTTTGCTGTGGACATCACTGACAGCAGCACTGTTGGTAATTCTGAGAGTTTAAAGAATTCTGCCTATTTAATACACAGATGTGTGTGTCAGAAGCACTAAAATGAAATAATGCAGCAAAAAAGAGTCCGGGGCTCAAGGTAAACACTCTTCACTTCCTTGCATGAAAAACTGTTGAAATAATTGTTCCCTCCACCACTAGTCACATCTCAAGCCAGCAGAGAAACAAGCCCTTAAACCCTTGTACACTGTACATAGTGTAACCAACTACCTCTCAATTACAAAATCTGCTTTGTCAAATGCCCTAAGGATAGCTAAAACACTTAATGTGATTTCAATGGATGCATTCCCTTATGAGAAATATTCATGGTAAATGTACACAGAAAATGGGTTTCTGAAGTAGTGTTAAGAAAATAGAGAAATCTAAGCCTAAATTAGAGCAAACTACCTAGCTTCCACACTAAGCAGTATTTTTTCTCTCAAGCTGACTGGCTTTTGAAATGCTGCATTTGAACTTTCTACCTTCACCAGCTTTGAGTTTTCCAAACAGAGTTTCTGATAAGTCACATCTTATAACTCCAACTAGATAATTTAGTTTTCAAATGAAGTGTCCTCTTTCTTACCTCTCCCTCTCCTCTTCACTCGGAAAACAAACAAGCATTTTCAGTAAAGAGAAGGCTAATTTAAGGGAGAAAAGGGGGGCCTTACAAATGAAATACTAGCTCTAGTATTTCTTATTGCATTGTCTTAGTGTCATGGATTAAATGAGGACGTGGTCTGTTTGTTAAAAGAGCACATTGACATTCACGGGGAGGGGAAACACCTGATTTTTGTGTTTATTTGTGCACAGATCACACTGTGGAGGGGACAGTCACAATTAACTCCTTGTGCATCAGAGCAACAGGAGGGACTGCACTATCCCTGAAAGTCTTCTTCTGCAACATTCAGCCACCCTCTGCCACTGCAGTTTTCCTGCAAATGTACAATACAAATGTAAGGAAAGTTGTCATCTGAGTTAGTACAGCTCTGAAAATAATCATAGAAGAAAAATTACAGGGAGAAAAATAAAGAGTTATTATACAACACAGAGTACCTGCACAGCCTAAACCCTTTCTGTTTGATCAAGTATTTCCTTTCAGGAAGTCCATTTTCAAAGCTCTGAGGGACCATTCCACTCACAGCAGCATTTTAGAAAAGGAAAACTCTAGAAATGTGTATTTTGCTCGGAATCAGTATCTAATATTTCTAACTGCAGACTGAAAAAGTTCAAAGTTCAACCACTCTAGGCACTAATAAAGCTAATTTCTGTAAACATTCTTCTATTTAATTACACAAGAACCCATTTAAAATATCACTTCTCCTACTGCTATTTGTGAGAATAATGTAACCAGAAAGAATGAGAAATTTTGTTTCCAGCAATGCACGAAATACATACTGGAAAAAAAATACGTCTAATATGTTTCAAGTCCCACTAAGATACCAGAGAAAAATAAATAGGTAATACATGAAAGTGGGTCACTATCAGGAAAATATATCTTAATGCTTACATCATTTCAGTTATTTGACTTCTTCCAATCACATGTAGCTAAGCATATATCTCTTTCTTTCTGATGTCATATTCTTTCCCTAAAACAAATGAAATGGTTGCTGTTGCATGCAGCATTTTGTTTGACTATGGCCACATTATCAGCCAGTGTTTCAAACCATGAACATGCAGCATAATGCAGTGCCATATATTCTGATAAGGAAGTGCACTTAGGACCGGGGCGTGCAGCTCTGCCTGTGCTGCGAGCGAAGGGCTCTTGTGAAACAGATCCATAAAGGCTGGACAAAGAGGAGAGCCAAATGCCAGCCCCATTAGACCCACAGAATTAATTCCCCTCTTCAGAACAAGTCGGTGGGGTGCAGAGCACCACAGATATCCAGGATGTCAGGACGAAGTTTGGCCCCACAGCTCAACAGAGAGCTCAGCTACTTCCATCCTCATTCACTGCTCATGAGAGACATATTAAAAACCCAGGATTTAGTATGAACTCTCAGCTGTGAGCTTCTCCTCTTTTACAATGTATTTCTATTACCTCATTCAGAGAGGTGCACCGTCCTTGAGTGAAACTTTTCTGAAAATACCAGTACTTATTAAAAACACTGCTTCATCCATGAGTTTCAGGCATCAAGCTGTCTGAATACAGTTCATTGCTTACATTTTTAC